CCTAATCCTAGTATCATTTTGAAATAATGAAAAATACCTATTACTTTTTAGAGACATTTACTAAAAAGTTACAAAAACTAGTTTGCAATCACACACATGTCACAAAACACTTTCTACATACAAATATGTCACTTTCAAAAAATTCAGACGAAAATATTCTTGCTTTTTGTCTGTTTGAATAGCATTTAATGCTCCCGTTTTATGTCAGTCATTTCATTTAATGCTTCGGTATGTAATGTCTACTTTATGTCATATCTGAGAGTACACGTACACTATCGTATGTTTCATGTATGTACACTATCAAATACCAACCTTGTACATTTATAATTGAATATCATATACACTCAATACAATCACATATACACGAAATCACATATACTTGTGTAACCACTCATGTATATTGCATGTGTATACGGATTATGTTTTAAAGTGTCATACATTTAACGAAATCACATACACATTTGTGGGGATGTTGTACATACATCCTTAGAGGTAGACAACGTACACGGTGTACGTACATACATAAAAAAAATAAACACCATCATCTACTCTGCTGTTGTCAATCATAATTTCCAGACCATATACCCAGACCCTATCGTCTTATTTACCATCTTTGTCATTGCCGTTCATAATCATATTTCATCTCGTACACCATCGTCTATTCTGTCGTGTACACCGTCATCGTACACCAACACTATCATCTAGTCTACAGTGTACACCGTTTTCGTACACCAATAGCATTGTCTATTCCACCATGTACGTACACTTACATCATCGCCAATTTCACCATGTACACCGTCCACATACACCACATTTTACAATGCTCTAAATTATGTCTCGTATACTAACATCATCGTCTACTCTGCTGTGTACACTGTCATCGTACACCAACAACATCATCTACACTACCGTGTAGACCGTCGTCGTACATTAACACCATTCGTCTATTCTACCGTGTAAACTGTCATCGTACACTAACACCATGGCATATCTCACCGTGTACACTGTCCTCATACAGCACATTTTACAACGTCTCATATTATGTCTCGTACAACAACGCTATTGTATACTCCGCCGTGTACACCAACATCATGAAAGACAAAAACAAAATATGTTCTATATATGCAAAACAAAGGTTAAA